CAAAGTGTCACATATACACTAATCCTAACCTAATCTATCCACAAAAATAGTAACAGGTAAAATATCACGCAGGTTTGCTAACCAAACAAATTTAATTTTCTCTATAGATTGGACAATAAAGTAAAGGTGCGTTTTCATGTTGACTCTCAACGTTCATTTTCAGCATCAAAATAGATCACGTGATCAAAATTGACGCTTGATATTCGTCAAATTCTATCACGTGACTTATTTTAACTCCAAAAAGCGTCGAGTGTCGAGCATCAACATGAAAAGGCATAGTTTTTGCACACTGAATGCGGAAACGCTTGCCGAGCGGCAAAACACGACGCGGTAGCCAATAAGCTTACAGAACCTAACATGTTCATTGGTTACCGCGTCGCATTTTGCGTCCAGTGTGCAGGAGCCATAATGGAGAACTCACATTTGTCCAATAATAAACATTGGCTACGTTCAGTAGACAAAATTATAAATTAATCCGTTAGCGCTTAGTAATTTTTTAATATGATTGGGCGCGTTTAAGTCGACAAAGCGGCTAGGTCTGTTCGCCAAGCAATTAAATATGATTGGTTGGATCCACAGGTAAGAACCAATCATGCTCATTCGCTCGATAAGCATGCCTAGTCGCTTTGTCGTCTTGAACTCGCCCATTGGTTCTTACATTTATGCCTCTGGCACACCAGTGTACAGCTTTACCGATATTCTCATTTTAAAGGTATATTGTCATTGGATGTTGCGCGTGACTAACATCGCGCTGGTGTGCCGGAGCCATTAGAAGAACCCAGTAAAAAAATCAGCAAAGAACCCAATAAAAATGACAATGGAACAACGTTGATTCGACATGGGAATTCTTACCGAGAATTAAAGGTAAAAACCAATGATATTAAAAAATTACTAAGCTAAAGATGCCTTTTCATGTTGACGTTCGACGCTTATTTTTATTTTTAGAGTTAAAATAAATGACGTGATCGAAATTAACTATTAATATTTGTCAATTTTTATGTGATCTGTTTTGACGCTAAAAAAGAATATTAAGTATCAGTATGAAAAGACACCTTAACTGATTAATTTTCTCAGAGAGCAGAGAATCGATTGTGTATCTTAAAATGAGAAAATTACAAAAGTGAGTAAATTTATTAACCAATTAAGTTATGAATATTCTAGAGAATTTTTGTACTTTTCACCTTATTTCGAGATACACAATCGATTCCATGAACAGCGAACGCCATTCAATAATAGTTCTATTCACGTTATGAATTCCCAAAAATGTTCGCTCTTAAAATGAAATAAGTATTGGTCTGTTCGCGTTGCTTGCACTTTTTGCTTTAAGCATCTCTGTTTTTTTCTTTGATCCGAATATATTGGGTCATCTAAAAAGTATCCGCGGTACTTTGTCACTAGATATAACCATCAACACACATCTAATGATAAAAAACCGCGGATACTTTTTAGATGACCCAATACATATATTTATCTCATTTTAAGCACAAAAATTTTTGGAGATTTTAAAGCAAACAGATCTTATATATTTGAGGGGGGAGGGGGGAGAGAGAGAGAGAAGATGCTAAGTGTAAAAAGTTTTTTAAGGACGAAAATATTATTGACTAAAATCCTTAGAAGGGGTGTTTCTTTATTGAATATTAAAGTGATTCTGTTTGTGTTGTTTGTACTTTTTTTTTTCTCTCAATATTTGAAATTGAACAAAATTACTAATATTGGGTCATCTAAAAGGTATCCGCGGTTTCTTGTCACTAGATATGTGTTGATGGTCATATATCTAGTGACAAAGTACCGCGGATACTTTTTAGATGACCCAATATGTTTATAAACGATTAACGTTTAAACGGAGGGATCAAATGTTATTAAAATTATTATCCTTCATAACAAATCTTTTTTAACCAAATTGGAAACCTCTAGATTGAAAATTTACCCTAAATAGTCCTATTTTAATGTCAGATTCGCATTCAGCGACTCAAAATACATAGAATAGCTGGGTCTCCACTCCAGGGTATTTTTTTTATAGGCCTTAAATTAATTGTTTTTAATAATTTATTTTCCTCTTAATTAGGACAGAAGGAAGTGTGTATATGGGAAAGTAAGTAAAAAATGCAATAGTAGGAATTATACTTTTATTATTTTATTATAAAGGACAGTACGTTACACAGACACATTTTTTGAAGGTACTGACGTGCAGTCTTGAAAGATTCTAAATAGATTCTGTATCCCTGATGTACATAGAAGACTATATTTATTCAAAAAGTAAAGATTTTTTTATTTGTCATAACAGAGTTTATGATATTTAGATGATATTTATGGAATCGAAGAAAAAAGGCGTGTATTCCCTGAAAGAACGATTGTATGATTTTTTTGTCATGTTTTAGATATTTTTTTATGTTGACTTCATTTCAGACTTTTAATATAAACAAACTGTTTCACTAAAATTTAAGTATTAGTCCATTAAAAATTATTAATTTGAAAGATTTAAAATAAAGTAAAAAAAAAAAACATTTTTTGGATATAGGATTTTAGATTACAGCGCAGATGATGTTGAGTAGAAAAATGTCGGAAGCTCAGAGAAGGAGAATTAGGATATTCGCTACTTTGTTAAATTTAATATAGTATGCATTTTCGATTAATAGTTATGTGCGTAGCAAAATTAAATAAAACACTAGGTATGATAATTTAAAGACTAAAATATTATCGTCAACTCCACGCACAATACATATACCTATAATATTATCTATTGCCAGTCATTGGAATGCTTACATTACAAGCTAGTAATGAAAATAATGATTCGTTTTTTGTTTTAATTTTTTTTTGAATGAAAGTAGTAAAATGGATTTCACTGATTTCACATGAAACTATGTTAATAATATATTATATCACTTATATTTGTTCCAGATCTATCAGTTATGTTCATTCTTTTTTCTGATTGTTAGAAATGATTTACTACATTATAACGTTTCTCGATAAAACGTTTAATAGCATTAATTAGTCTTGTAACGTGTTAATATAATCACGAAATATTTATATAAATATACTTTGAATAGTCTTCGCAGATATTTGATATCTGCAAGACATTTTACGGAGAAAGCAAAAAAGTCATGTATTTCGAAAAATATTATCAATAGAAAAAAAGTTAGAGATTAAAATCTTTTGGTCCCGTAGTCGCTATTACATAGACAAAAACCAATTTAATTATCTTCAATGGCAAAGAAACGTGTATAAATTTAAAGAGTATGTTTTTGAATTTATATAAGAAATTTTTTACAAAAAATATTATGATGCATTTCTTAAAACAACTTCTTATTTTATGCAAAGACAAGGACAATCATGCTTTGTATACTTTAAAATAAAAAATCATGTTTAATTTTTAGAGAGACTTTCTGAAATATCTTGTAGAATTTATAAATGTTTAAATTATTAATTAAAGGATGATTTCTTTTTATTTATTGCAACAGGAATATTGTTGTAGTTCTTTTTTGTATAGAAATTTTTTTAATACTTTTATTGGTTATCAGAATTGTGTGAATGCGTTAATTAACAGGGCAATCTAGGAAATAGACATTACAATGAGGATTGCATTACTATCACGAAAAGAATGTACTGTGGAAATGTAATATAGTTAAGTTGTTTTTTTAAAAAACATCGGATTGACAGATCTTTCATCTAGAGTTTTTAATAAAACGTAATGAATTAAAATATTACTTTTTCCTCTAACCCTTTTTCTATCTTTAAGGCTATTTAATATACACGACTAATTTGTTTTGCAAAACTATTTGTATATGTACATTTATGAAGAAGACACAATGAAGTCTACAGTATATACATTTTATAAAGAAAATTCTTTTTTGAAAGAAAGATGAATGTAACATGTAACTCACAAACGACACCCCCCCCCCTCTACACACACATTACTTGTGGAATATACATCCATCCTTTTTTTTAAACAGAATTTTCTTTTTTATATATTTGTATCTACTATTTTCAGTTGTGTACGTGTGTGCGCGCTGTCTTTTCTATCGAACAGTTCCATCAAATATTCGTAATATCTAATTTGTCACGGATATCCAATTTACACGATTAGCTTTAATTGCACCAACGGTATTAGAGAGAGTTAGATAAAGAATCTTGTACTAACGATTGTTATTTATAATTTCATATCAATTGTTTTTACGTTATAATTTTATCGTTAATATCGTTAATAATAATAATTTGACAAAGATTGTTAATCAGTAATAGCATTAATCTATGTCGATGTAGCCAATCTTTAGATGAGAAATTACAAGAGATTGTGTGTGTTTTAAAATTGCACATGTAAGAGGATATTTTTCCTGGAAGATCTTTCTAACACAAATAGAAGATTTATAAGTTCGGTCTCTTGCGGCGCATTGTGCCCAGAGCTGACCAAGTCGTAATCATAGCCGGATTTTACCCCATGCTGCTTTTTATGAACTTTTCTTCAAGAGCTCGCGTGGGGGATGACTGAATAGAATATATATATAATACCAAATTAATATCTTGCGGATATATATATATATCCGCAAGATATTAATTTGCTCGTTAGTGTGATTATGCGAGCGAAAGTCCAACAAATTTATTTTAATCGTGATGATATGAAAGCAGCTGTTACGAAAAATCCATGTTAAGTACAGGCTTCCTATACATATTTCGCGATCTATATTCATTCGTGGAGTGTTGTTACATCGCTAACGATGTTCCTCCTTTCTGCCGCGTCTTGGTGATGATAAATCGCAGTCTTGGAGTATATTGGAGCACTGTGTATTCGAGATGTGATTTCTCTTGATATTTTTCAGGCGCGATGAGTTCAAGTCGCACGGAACGATGTCTTTCAGTTTTTTTTGAAAGTTAATTTTTCGGATCACGTTTGATTTACTCACGCATCACGGAATCGAATCGCTCGTTCTCGACGTGGCCCCGTTCGGGCCGTTGTGTGTCGTCACATACCGCTGCTAGGTTGACCACTTCCGGGCACGCATATGCCACCATCGCTGCTCTGACTGACGCTACTATAGCTCACATTACTCGCCTGTCCTCCCGTTGCCATTCCGGAGATGTACTGAAACAAAAGAATTACAATTAATGCTTTTTATCACGTTAATTGTTCGCCATTTTAAGAATGATTCATTGCGACAAGAACCGAAGTATTATCAATTAATAGTTAAGTTTTACACATTTTGTAATATATAAACTTGTTATATTCTCCTTCACTTCTCTAGAACACATACATACATACATACATACATACATACATACATACATACATACATACATACATACATACATACATACATACATACATACATACATACATACATACATACATACATACATACATACATACATACATACATACATACATACATACATACATACATACATACATACATACATACATACATACATACATACATACATACATGTATCTTTCGATTGGGACAAAAATAGATTTTCGATAACTAACAAAGCAGTGAATTTACACAGATAGAATCTTTTCGGCTGTTTCGACTGTTCGTGCTTTATCATTACAATGTACTCTATATTCCAACATTTTTTGTCTGCTTACTCTTAAAAATTAATGTGTCCGCCATTCGCGAGTGCTTAGTGCGTGAGAAATAAAAAGCTATGGATTATCATAGACAAATTTAATTTGTACTACCATAATTTAATTTGTGAGACGACTCGACACACAAATCCAGATATGCCTCACAATAAATCTCACCGTTCCATTCTACCGACTTTTATTTTACACAAATTTTCAATTCGTAATCGTTAAGTCTGTATTATATTTTCTTATAAATTCTGCGTTATAATCTCTTCGTTTTCTATCTTTCTTCGAAACCGAACACTTTAATTTATTCGACGGGACGACCAGCTCTCCTGTCGTCGTCCTAGGGATAATCGATCCATCGGCTTCGCCTCAAACGCAACCAATCTCTCCGCGCTCGTTGCTTCCCTTTAAAGGTCGCCACGGATCAGCGACAAGCTTTACACTTCACGCTTATACCCCGTGTACACATGGCTTTGCGCCGAATCGTGCGAATAGTGCGGTCGAAGAGACAACCCCAGCTGAATAGGGAGAGGGTCTAAGTGGTTAAACGGTTTTTCGATAGCTCTTGGCCGTAAAGCAAATCATTCAATATTCGGTCAGCCGTGAAAAAAATGCCACCGCAAATGCGGACGAGTCGAGTTTCAAATTTATAGTTTACCGACAAAGTGAATAAAATGGTCAAAATGGATGGACAACATTCGTGTTTATATATTTTCCAGGACTGCTCTCGCCTTTAAATAATAAGATAAGTAAACGTAATTACTCGGTAATCGATATTTTCGCGAATATAATTGATTTATTGCTAAAAATAATTTGTTAAAAAGAATTTATTGTATAATATATTTCGTGCTAATTTGAGAAAAAAATTTACAGATTTAGATGTTACGTATATCTATAATAAAGAATAATTCACAAAGAAAGTACAGCTTCATGTGCTTGCTTTAACACTTTCGTCCTGTCTCATCCTGCCACATGGGATAGTGACCGTATCAGAGTTTTCTCGTTTGTTCTATCGGGTGTTGAATTCCCCAAGGTCAGATGATGCTCCTTATTTTTGTCTTCTCCCACTTTTATCCGATATATATCCCGTGTGTCCGCGACTCTTCTTCTGGTAACGCGACCGCGAAACTAAAAGTATCTATGTAGGTTATTGAAGATAGCACGAGGTCGCACGTTTATTTTAGATTTTTCAAACGCGGACATATATCAATTTTACTTTATATCCATGATATAATATCTTGTCTTTTGGTATGTGTAATTACGCGAGTACTGGATGATTTATGATCGTCACACGTTTATCACCATCATCAATTCCTTATACTCTCGTATACGTTGCATAAATGTAACTTCTGACAAAATCAAAATATTCTATAAAGATATTTAAAATTTTTAATTATGTGTTTGCATTCCAGTTGCTCCTTTTTTTTATTGTATGTAGAAATATGAAAATTAGGTACTCAAGTAAGTAGTTCGAATGAAAAGCTGAACGTTTTATAGAATTACGAGCGTTTCTAATATCTGCACTTGAATTCTTTATGTCATCAAACTTTTACATATTTCAAACAGCACGCTTCATGGTCCTTGATCACAAGCGAATTTTCAGTGAAGTAATTTGTTCGAAATATAAATATATGAAATCTTGCACGAAATATCCACGAGATTTTGTGTAACGAAATAGATAAAATAATTTTTGGGTTCGTCGGCTTTCGTATCACAGAGAAAAAACCTTACAAAATCGAAAGGAAAATAAATATGCGCGTATATTTTGTTTTCCATTAAAATTCCGATTTGTTATTCAAACTATATTTTGCTGCTAGTTGAAAGTTACGGTTATGAAATTTGCGACTGTTTACGCGTTTGCAGTTATTTTTATGTTTGCAAAAGTTCGAAAAATCTTTCATATTCGCGACAGCAATATTAAATAAAATTACAAGATGCCCAACGTATTGACATAGTTCTATTATTATAACTGTTAATGCTCGTATCAGACTAGAGTTTTGATTGATCAAATTCAATCTTAATCTCAATCTCAATCTCTAATTTGATATGGGTATTAATACATGTTTTGTTATCATATTATTTGGAAGAAATAGCTAGTCTGTAAACCGAAATTAAAAATACAAGACATCACCTTTTAAAAAAACTACCAGAAGTGAATACCCGAGGACGAGGAAAGTATTTATAGATCAAGAAAGTGCATCCTTAGATAATGAATAGTGCCATGTGCAGGTGCAAGTATTTAAAAGTATTTCAAATGTCACATTTACTAGTAAAAACATACCGAGAATTTATATTCTATAAGAATACGTTGATGTTCGTTGATGCTCGTTGATCTTTGATATATAAGGGTTTTGGAAAACGGACAGAGGATTGTGATTGCTTGGAATTACCAATAGTTAAACTATATACTGCTTTATCTATATTGCATTAAGGACGAAGGATAAGCGATAAACAGAAATAAAGAAAAGGTCTCGAGGGATTCCACGACCAGCGATCGATGACCAGCTCGCGATGATATTCCGTTGTTAAATGTAGGTTTGCTCGCCGGAATTTTCTCGACTTCCCCGTACGTGATGAAGGGAATACGCGGAGTAGTATCGTCCGGATGCGAATTTCTGAAAAAAGCAATATACTGGATACGTTTCCCTAGTAGTTATCATTGATAGTACCCTGTTGTCGGAATTGTTAATAAGATTGTGACGCCTCGCTCCTTTCAGCATTCCTATTGACGATATTATTTATCGAAAGTGTAAAATATACATTTCTATTATATTACGTCAGCACATATATAAACGGAATATAGGTGACGTATCCTAAACATTTTAATAAGAAATTGCTAATAAATATCATGCGGTAGTTATATTATACAAAACTATATGGAGGGAATGATTTGTTAACAATATAGTTCACCGCACTTTTTACTGTGAAATTGCAAGTACGTGCTGTTTAACAGCTATGTTGTAATATCTATTACTATTAACTTGGAAATTGTTTATTTCTCTTTTCCAAATTTTTATCTTTCCTTAGTAAACTAATTTGAACAATGCACTAACAAAATTTTTAATATTTAATGTGCACATTCCTTTAATTGGTTTAATACTTAATTAAATCACAGTAAGGGTTCATGCGTATAATTAGTTGCATATCTACTAAAAATGTAGAATTTTCTCAATATTTCTTGATGCTGTAAGATAATTCAATTACATTATACTTTTCGTTTGAATTAAAATGCCTATTCCAATTTTTTCAGCACACATTTTTAGTATTGTTTTTATTTGTAAATAAAATGCCTTTATAATTTAAATTGTTTATGCAAGGGTAATTAATGAGGGGCATTAACACTAGATGTGTATGAATTTAGGCAAGATTGTTCTAACAGTAAATAGAAATGGACCCAAATTAACAATTACTTTGGGGCTATGCTATTCAACATTCTAATGTTGCTTTAAATTAATATTCATTCAAAAAGTAATAAATGTATATATATATATATATAAAACATAATTTAAACTTACCTGACTCGGTTTACATCTAAATGCTGGCTGATATCGTCGTTTCATTTTTCTGGGACAACAATAGCACAGAATTCTTACGAAAGCTCTGAAACAAAAAAAATTTAATATGTCTTGACAACGTCAATTAAATTACAAACGGTGTGATATTATGATAGAAAATATTTATTTGTATGATTTTTATATTTTCTTTGTAATAACCATGAATCATCTTGCATCCTGCAAATTAATATCTTAATCAAATTTGCGCTATACGCCGCGGCGACGTAGACAAGTACTACGTTATGCAATGTCACGACGCAATGTCGTGACGCCAAATGTGGCTTTTAACATCAGGATTGCATGACTGCTACATTTTTTTCAAGTATCGTGTATACGAATATTTGCATAAAGACTATCGATGAAAATGCAACATATGTGATCAATGCTTGTACGTGCATTGCCTCATTTCGATATGGTAGTGAAAAAAGAATTCAAAACCTTTTTTAACCTATTAAAGAATTTTCTAATATCTGATTTTAGAGAGTCTCGTTGGTAATAATTCAATTTTTAATTATTTTAAAAAACCAAATACACAAATACATATCATTTTTGTATATAATGCACGCGCATATGTATAATGTATCGATGATATAATGGATAAGTAGTCCACGTCGCGCTAAATGGATAAACAGATTATCTTTCTAATGATTGCACGAACGTGGTATTACGTGATATTTGCATTCTTTGCTCCATCTATGGTATTACGTTTTTGCGAATTGAGTATCCGAGTAGTACATTACTCGGCGTCGGTGCATCGCTGTATTTCGAAGTAGTTGTTGATGCAATAATACGCGTAACGACTAATTGTAAGTGCAATAGTCCAGACAACATGGATAATATTAAATTTGACTTTCATCTACTGCAAGATTATTCACGTTGCGTATTTTTTATTATGCTAATGTTTATTATTTTCGTTACGACGGTATCGTCACAACGTACAACCGATCGATCTATTATTTTGAATTTTACGAAACGCCAAAATCAATGTGACAAAGCATTAAATTATTTAATACCTTGTACGGTGACATTTATCGAAGAATATTTCGAACATCCTGAACAAGTCTCATTTTTACTACCTGACGCGCTACAAGACGGTTCCGATGCCATAGAACTGTTGATGAATGAATTACATGTGACAAGCGTTACTTACGCATTAAACGTCAGTCTGAATGAAATGGAAACATACGATGCTTTGACAAATGTTGTTATTCTGTTAGAGAATGGAATCGCTTTCGAAACGAACGATTCCTCCTTTGTCAATGATTGTGAGTACAATTGCGATTTTATAGTAGTGCTAACGAATCTGTTCGCCGATGAAGAAAGCTTTCTGACAGAAGCTGGTACGCTAGTACAACAAATGTCACTGCGATCGATTTTTAAGCTCCAGATATTGGCGTCAGTCGGAGATTCGGTTCTGCGCGCCAGTAGCCTTTCGATTCGGACCAACGATTCGTACGCACTTGCCGAACCAGCACTTTCAGGCAGATGTGAACAGGAAGCTTATATTGCAATTCGATGGCGGAATTTCACAAATAAAACAGAACCATTATTCGGTGCTAATACCGTGAATGCGGCAATGTTCGATAATTTTCCATTCACGTATCTCGAGAACGATACTAACCATTTGAGATTCGGTGGAGTGGAAGGCTCAATGGTGGAAGAAATTGCAAGTAACTTGAACATCAAGCTGAGGAGAGAGTCGATTGAATCGGCACGTGAGATTCCGATGAATGCAGAGATATATCTGAGACTTCATAACGCGACTAACGATTTAGTGTTTGGTGGTATCTTGTGGAATTCTAGCCGAAAAATGACATATACCACTTGTTATGGTATGGTGCAAATTTCGTGGATGATACCGATAGAAACAAATGTTTCTCTACGTGGTTTGATAGCTCCATTCAATATGAATATTTGGTATGCTGTATTTTGCGTTCTAATTATTGGTGGACTCGTAAAACTATTTTTTATTCGTGAAATTACATTTTTGGATATCACAGCATTGATTTTCGGTATACCAGTGTCTCAGCCGAAAAGAATTTCCAGCAGAATTCAATTTATATCTTGGGCTTTGTTCGGTTTTTTTCTCACTCAACTATATCTAGGATCGTTAGCTGACTATCTAATTAGTACAACGGATATGCAGATAGAGACTATGGAGGAGTTAGCTAAGTCAGGATTAACGATAGGTGGGACTCAGCAATTCGCGAATTTGTTACAAACGCCTAATGACATGCAAGATAACGTTGAACAAATAATTCGTAAGAATTTTTGTCTTTTGAACCATCACGAATATATTGATCACTTCGAGGAGATTGTGGAGGGAAGAAATGATAGTGTCGCTCTTCTCGTAATGTTGAACTTGACAAATCATCACCGCGGTTCTAATATAGGATACGGTCATATTACAAAAGAAACTATGGGCAGTTATCCATTGGCCTTCGTCACTCGGCAAGGTTTTCCATACTTGAAAGAATTTAATTTAAGGATCCAAATACTCGTTCAAGTTGGTCTTGTGGAACATTGGTCAAACATGGCAATATTGAAACGAAGTTTTTCCAACAAGGAAAAGGAAAACAATTCCAAACTTGATATCGAAGATATCGCACCGGCCTTCTTCCTTTTGATCATGGGATATCTTGGTGGATTCTGCATGCTAATTATAGAAGTTATTTTTTATCCATCCAAATTGTTGTCATAAATTTATTTTCTAACCCTTTTATATAAATAGATAACTTGTTTGAATTATAGCTTGCGATTATTGTACACTTTTAATTTTAAACACATGAATATATCTTATTAATTGTTGCATATGAGTCTCTTCTTTATCCAGCATTTCTGTTCAGTACATTCGTACGAATGCGATGCCATTCTTTCAATTTTGATGGAATACCGAAACATCATAATTTATTGCTCATTATATGATGTGTAGCGAGCCTGGAAAATGCAATTCGAGAACATATATGCTCGAAATACACTTTTCATCTTATTAAAAAATAAAACTTCCAGTAAAAAAGTTTAATCTTGCATTTTTTATATTTACTCTTTCGTGTTTACTACATTTTAGATCATGTTATGACATTCAGTATATCTGTAGAATATCTCAAGTCCGTTATATTTCTTTTTTTATTTATCTATTTTTTTAAACCAGACGTTTTTATAAGAGGTTCATATATCTATGTCTTGTCTTATCAAAACTTCAGAGTCCGACATTAAGTAGTTTTGAAACATACCATACGTTTTATAATAAGACTTTCTCGGTTGAATGAAATATGAAAAAAGTAATGTATAATTTCATTTATCCATGATTTCGTAATAAATATTTTATTTTAATTGCACATTAGAGACGATATTGCTATGAATGTTCGATAGTTTTAAGGATAATATTTTTATCACATATTCGCTGAAATTTCTTCTCGGTTATACGATAACTATCCTGGCTCATTAACTCTTCATAATAAGTCTATCGAGATTCCGTGGAATATTTAACTACGTCTCCTAAATAAAATAGCCCTGCGGCGAGTTAATTAGAAAAGTTCCCGGCTAATTTCATTAAACCTCTCTCTGTTTATTTTGTTCAAGAAGTAAAACTTAAAAAGCAAAATATCGATTTTAAAATTTACGTAATGACATTATTAGCTGTGATTTATTAAATTGGTGTAAACAATTTTCATGTCTATTGAATAAAGTTCGTAATAGTTACAATGAAGTCGAAATGAAATTATTACCAATGACTTCATGTGTAGCAATGATAGTTTTGGTAAAGAAAATATTATTTTTACTATTTTAAGCTTCTCTTATTGTTTATAAACGTTATGTATTAAACAGTTAATTAATGGCTTATCATATGTACATATGAGGTACAATATTTAAATACGCCTTTTTATAAGCATTTATGTTGAAAAACTTGAAAAATTTGAAAATATTGTTTTTTACTTTACTATTCCGTGTCGAATTTCGTATTTGATTAAATGTGATATCGCTTATCCAATCCTGCGATTGATCGTTATTGGATATTTCAACAGAATTTACTTTTAAAGAATACATTTTTTAAATGAAAATATTATAGATGCAATATTGACATTATTGCATTCTAAAATTTTTTAGTATTACGTATTTTTACAGTGGTAATGTTATAGAAATGTTAATGCTTTCATATTAGTCTAATTAAAAATTAATTATACGTTAAAATAACATTATTTAACAATAAATTGTGTGTTGCTTATATATAAAATTTCAATTTCGATCGCAATTTTCTATTACTAGTCAATTTAGTATTCGATACAAGCACGCGAATTAATATATTGTTCTTAACTTAGGAAATTAATATTTAAATATATTACTGCGCATTTTTCTGAATTTTATAGTTTTAGCAATAAGATATTGTATAAAATTTCTAGCATAAGTAGTACAATAAACTATATAATTTCTGTAATTTTCAATCAATAAAATAGAAATAATACAAAAGTATATGTGTAACGTCAATTTTTATTTTTCTTCGTATATTAGTGTTCAAAGTCACTCTTTTGATTAATACGGAACAGCAACAGGAAGGAAAGAAGACAAGTTAATTCTATCCTTTTTATATCTATCGTATTACACGATCAATCATACGATCGGATTACGATACGACGTTATTCTATGGACTTTTGTGCGAGCGAAAAAGTCAAAGAGCAAGATGGCATCGTTAATCAGAGAGAATCCAAGCGTGATTTCCGGTCACCGGGTCAATATATCAGCGACAAAACGAACCAAACTGCAGACGAAAGTAGGGTATACTATCGTATACTCGATTGGCGCGAATATTCGTGTAATCAGCTATTGGCGTTGAGTTTACGTTCTAATGACAGTGAAGCGTTCTGTCGAAATGCAATCTGGAGCGACATACCATACCGGAAATAGAGGTCACGATATCATAATGAATATCAGCGTAACTTCCTAACAAACCTTCGATTATTTCGCTGTATTTTTCAGCGATTTTATTCTATAATGAAATGGCATTAATTACTTAGATGCTAATATGTATAATGATCTATAATTTAATGC